TGTAAGGTCAGCAGTTCAAAACCACCAGTTACACCTTGGGAGAAAGATAGGGCTTTCTGCTCCTGTAAACTGTTACAGTCTCAGTATTCATGGGACAGTTCTACCATGCCCTAGAGGGTCACTATGAGCCAGTATCAATTCAATGGCAGCCAGTTTGGTTTTGGTTTGGTCTTGGCTGATAAAAGCTTGGCTAGTTTTTGTCTTTTTTTTAAAGGGGGAGCAGCTAACACTGAGCACTGAAGTGCAAGGCTTTGTTTTAAGTACTTCACGTGTACCATCTTATTTAGTCCTTATAACGATTCTATGAAATAGTATATCATTCGCACTTCATTTTTTTTCAACTGTGGGAACGAAGAACCAGCAAAGTTAGTGATTGGTCCTAGGTCACAAAACTGGCAAGCAGTGGTGTGTGATACAAACCCTGACTGTGTGGCCCCAGAAACCATGCACTTAACTACTACACTGTGATGTCCCATTGCACCCAACCCCATCTGAACAGAAACCTCAACTCTCTCACCCATGCATCAACTTCAGGACAAACAGGGTCAAGAGAGACTGTCTATGTCACCATGCCTCAATTTCATCATATGTAAAATAAGTTTACATACCTCAGAAGCTCTCCATGAATATTATGTATGCAGAGCACTTACCTAGTGCTTGGCACATAGGAAGCATCCAATTAATAGTAGCCATTATTCATGTCTTACTCTGTGGGCTACTAAAGTGCAGCTGACAAACACAATGCAAACAGCGAGGCTGTGCCTTCTTTCTTATCTGTCTACCAGGTGAGGCGAAGGAGGCGTTCCTGACTCTATCCCATTGTTTATGTTCCAGAGTCTGCTGGGAAGCTGCTTCTTCATTGTTCCAACCCCAGTGGAATACTACCCAGCCCCAATATCACCTTTTCCATGAAGTCTTTCCAGTGGAAAGGCTCCAGGCTCACTGCTGATTTCCCACAGCTTATAAGCGGTACCTCATGTTCTGTCCTGTGGTGCCCCTGCCCAACCCTGGGTGTTCCCTGAAGGCAGAGCGCGAGTGTTCACCCAACAAGTCTCCCTTTTCTCTATTCAGCTTGAGAGCGAAACGGAGTGCGAAGAAAGTTGAGCGTCCTAAGGAAGCCCCAGATTTACAGGTTCAGGGGGGCTAAGAAGCCCAACCAGGATGGGGTGGGGTGAGGCAGGCTACTAAGCACTGGACTTTGAACAGCTCAGCATCAGGAGCTGAGCAAAGAAAAGTTCGCTAGGAGCAGGTGGGGGCATGCAGCCTCTCCTAAGAGGAAAGGCCCAGGGGGGTGGGTAGAGAAAGGCAGTAAGAGTCAAAGAGGGGTCAGGCAAGAGGCAAAGAGGTGGCTGAACTTGAATGGGGAGCAACAGCTCTCTGGCCAAATACAGAAGGAAAGACTTGCCCATTCTCTAATGATTCCCACTAATTTGCAAAGGGCAGATCCTGCCCAGGGGTTTCACAGAGAAACAAGACATAGCTCCCTATACATACTTTCAGAGCTCTCAGTCCCCCGAGAATAAGTAGGCAAATGTAGAAATAACTAGCAGGGAGAAGGTGGGTGGTGCTTAAGAGAAGTACAATGGGGACTCTGGGCAGTAAGGCAGAGAGGAAGAAAAGCGTCAAATGGGGTAACGTGTCTTTGTAGAGCAGCATGGATGAGATGACATGGACATGTGTGTTCTACGAGATAGCAACTTGAAGCAGAAGCACCCCAGGCTGGGGTGGAGGTGGAGATGAGGTCAGAAAGAGAAAGTGCTGAGGAAGATATCAAAGGGAGCATCCGAAGTAATTGCTTCAAGGCAAGGGGGGGGGGGCAGTCAAGTGGAGAAACTAAGATTCTTACTGGGTGGATGAGTTTTTCTGGAAGATGGGTACAAAAGAGACTTCCGGAGGCAGCAGGGCACAGAAGGCTATATCTTCTTTTCCTAGAAAGCCAGGGTTCTCAAATTTCCATCAAATGCACCAGGAAGGCTTGGTTTTCAGCCTCAGCCACTCTGGTGTGGCCCAAGAATCTGCATATCTAACATCTGAGGATGCTAATACTGCTGGGGCCACACTCTTGAGATTCACTCTATATGGAAAGAGACTGGTTAGTGAGGACACCCCCAAAGGAAAAAAGGAGGGAGAAAGGTTCTAAAAGGAAAATTAGAAAGGAGGAAGGTGGGACATTAGGATCTCTAGGTCCCTCAGAGGAGGAGGGATCTATGAATACAAGGCCAAAGAAAGGCACTCTGAAATTCTTTGAGAGTTGAGGGTTTAAAGGGGAAGTCTGTCAGACATGAGGGCTCTTGGCCAGAGCATGGAAATTGGAGTGTGTGTGTGTGTCCTGAGGAACAATGGCAGGGCTCTCTGGAGAGACTCAAAGATTTGAATTTGATTTCAGAGGAATGAGAAGGTAAGAGATGGGGATGGGAAAAAAAAAAAAGAGATGGGGATGAGGGTGTTCTGAAAAGTGTAAACCTGATCGGGTCCTAAGAAAGGCTTCTTAGAGATGTCAGAGGGGGGATGTGAAGGGGAGTTCTGAGGAAGTCTCATGAAGCCCCAGGGTAGATGATGGGTGCAGACCAATTTTGGAGAAAATTCTCTAAAAGGAACCTGGTGTGATCATCTGTGGAAGGTCTCAGATGTACTGAAGCAGGAGGATGGGACTTTTAGTAAGAGTTGGGACCAACTCTCCAAATGAGCACGTCAGAGTGGTGGACCTTCTGAAGCACGTCAGAGTGGAAGGGTTCCTAAGTGCAGGAGCTCGTAGGGAAAGTCGGAGTTCTTCTAAAGAGGGGGCCTAAGGGCCTAGTGAATCGGGGAGACTTCAAGAAGAGACCCAGGAAAGGAAATCTTTCAGAAAAGTCTCTTCTAAAGCAAGCATTTCTGAATGGTGATTCAAGGGATTGGGGGTGCTGGGGCGGGGGATCAAGAGGGTCTCTGGGAGAGATTTCAAGGACATATTCAGGAGTTTCTGCAACATACAGCTCTGTACATAAGGTCCTTGGTCTAAGTACGGGAATTCTTGAGAAGCTGCATCTCCGAGGGATCAGGAAGATGACTTAGGGTAGTCTTCCAGGGGTTTTGCGTAAGGTCTTCCAGGAAGCTCTTCTAAAGGTAGATTTAGGGCGTATCTAAGGGGAATAGTTTTAGGGAGTAGCAGATAGATAGCAACTACAAGGAAATTTGGGGGATAGCTGAGGAAGCAATATTTAGAACATGCAGTAGGTTACTAGGTCACTAGGATATAAGAAAGGGGTTTTGGACAAGACTTACAACACGGGAGAAGAGTTTCTGGAGATTTTGAGATGTCTCTGGTGAAAATTTATGGCTCAGGGAGGTCTTGAGAAAGCCTGTTGGTTGATCTCTTGGGCATTTCAGGATGGTGAGATTAGGGGACACGAATAAATCTCTGTGACACATGGATGGGTCCGAAAGGATGACTTTAGGGAGATATTAAATGGGCATGGAAATGAGGACAAATATTGGGAGAGGGGTGTGGTTCTCTGGGTGAATTGTGGGGCAACAGGGACATTTTAGAGGGTCTCTGACATGTTTTGGGGGTCATGTGAAGGAGATCTTCAGGGAAGATTTCCAGGATACAAAGGGGTGTTTAGGGGGGGGCGTGGCCTGAGATCTGGAGGATATGAAAGGAAAATCTCCAACTAGATTTCTGGAATGGGGGCAGGTGGGCTGAAAATTCTTGGAATACATACAAGTCTGGGGAGATTTCGGAGACTGTGAGAGAGGTTGTTGAGATCTGTCAGACAGGTCTCTGAGGGAGATTTTTGGGATGTATGGGGAGGGGGAGTTCAGGATTTTGGGGAGTCTGCGAAGACTTATCGGAACTGGTGAGGGTGGCTGCTGGAGATGATTGCTGAGGGGTATTGTGTGAACCTAGGGAGTGACCTTTCCGGATAGAGGAGGGGATAAGAAGCATTCGGGGTGGGTGAGACCTGTGAAGGTGGTCTCTGGAGAAGGTGGTTGGGATTTAAGGAGTGGTCTCTTGGGAAGACTTGTGGGATTGTAGGGGGGCGATCGCGAGGGTTTTCAGAGGCGTCTCTGAGACAAACTGCGGGGGATCGGTGGGAATGCTCTCCAAGGTGGCTGAGCTAGATCGGTGGGGGGTCAGGAGAATGGTCCCCTTCGCCGGGCCCCTGGGCGATCCCGAGAGTCGGAGGAGGATTTGGGAGGGAAGCTTCGGAAAGGCTGAGAAGTCAAACTCGGGGGACCAGTGTGGGGATTCTCGAGGTGCCCCGAAGCCCCAAGGCCCGCGCTCGCGCCTGCCGCCGCCGCCCGCGGCTCAGGGTCCCTGAGGGGGCGGGGCCGCCCGCGCGGCCTGGGTCGCCCTGAGGTGATCCCCGCAAGCCCGACTCGCCACCTTCCCGTGCCCGCCCGGCCCTGCCCAAGACTCACCGCCTCGGCCGCCGCCGCCGCCACTCGGGCCTCAGGCCACCGCCACCACCGTCGCCCCCTCTCCGGCCCGCGAGCTCGCCTCCCTCCTCCCGCACCGACCACCGCCGCCGCCGCCGCCGCCGCTGCCGTCGCGCTGCGTCACCGCGCCGTGCGTCACCACCCCTGGCCCCGCCCCGACGGGCCCGCCGCGCACCAGCATTAGTTGACGCCGGGATGACGAACGGCGCAGCAGCCAATGAGAAACGAGGAGTGCCCGGAGGCTGGGAGGTGTGCGGGGAGAAAGGAGGGTCTTTTATAAGATTGGCGCGACGGGAGTTGAAAGATGCCCAAGAGACCCGCCCCCTCCTCAGTGGGATTGGTCAGCCCCGGGTGTGAAGGACAGTCGGCCGCACGGAGGGGAATCGGCGCCGGCGGGCGGGGAAGGGGAGGAGCGCGCGCAGTGTTACCAAGGGCAACGGGCCTGGCGGGGTCTGGTATCGGGCCTCCTGCCCCACAGGGGGCAGTCTCGTGCTCGCGTACCTCAGCGTCCGTGAACTAAGTCACAATTCCTTATTCTGGCGTTCTGCCCATGGGCCTCCTCCCCATGGCCCCACCTGCATGCTCGGTGACCTAAGGCCTTTCCCACCTGTGCTCCTGACCGTAAGATTCAGAGTTGGGATTTAGGGGTCTGGAGCTTCAGCTTTCTCACCATACCACGCTCCGAACCTGTTATTTCATCTCTCAAATGGTAATATGAATCTCTTTTCTCTCCATTGGGGCCACAACTCCCCCCTCCCCTCCAAACAAACTCACTGCCATTAAGTTGATGCCAACTCATAGTGACTACCCAACAGGGCAGGGCAGGGCAGAACTGACCTTGTGAGTTTCTGAGACTATAACTGTTTATAGGAGTAGAAAACCCAGTCTTTCTGCTGCAGGGCAGCTACTGATTTCGATCTGCAGACCTTGTAGATTGCAACCCAATGTGTAACCAGGGCACTACCAGGGAGCTACACCCACTGTCCACTGCCTTCAAGGCGATTCTGACATAATGACCCTATAGGACAGAGTAGAACTACTCTATAGGGTTTCTGAAGCTGTAGAGCTTTATAAAAAACAAACAAACAAAACTCGCTACCATGGATTCAATGCTGACTCATAGCGGTCCCCTGTGGATTTCGAGGCTATAACTATTTACAGGAGTAAAAAGCCCAGTCATTCTGCCAAGGAGCTGGTGGTGGTGATTTCGAACTGCTAACCCTTCGGATCAGAGCCCCCTGCGTATGCTGCTACACCAATAGTAGATCTTTATAGGAGCAGATAATTTCATCTTTCTCCGATGGAGCCTCCAGGGAGTTTGAACCACTGGTCTGGCAGTCAACAGCCCAACGCTTAATCCATGGCACCACTAGGGACTGATTTTTGAAGGAGCTGAAGTGTACATAAAGTGGCAGTTGTTGCTATTACTATTGTGGTAATTCGTTCATTGGGGCACGGAAATAATCAGCCTGGGGGTTGACTAGAAGACAAGGCTTGTTAAAGGATGGAAAAGAATTGGAGACAGTTGGAAGTGTCGCATTCCAGGCAGGAAGTATTGGGAAATGAACGGAAATTAGGTCTATGTTGGATTTGCCCCGATGAACTAGGAAGGCAAATCAAGGAAAGGTTCAAACCAGACAGAGGGATTTGAAAGATACCTCTAGTGTGAGCAAGATTAGGGGTTAAGGAGTCCAGAGAAGCAGCGAGGGCAAAGACTCAGGTTGCCCCAGAGTGGGACGAGGGAAGGGGGTAGGTGGAGGGATGTCCAAGGGACCAGGTGAGCAAAGTCCTGGGACTGGTGTTCCACAGAGATAGAGAGATTTGAATGCCCCAGAAGAAACCCCCCAGTCTGGGAGATTAGGGAGGAAGGTGGTATGGCCTCCCCAAGAAGGAGACCCAGAGGAGGAAGAGATTGGGAGCACAGTGCATTGTGGGGCATTCAATGGAAGCATCCAGAATCCCCTGGTTCTGGAGCTTAAAAAATATATATTGGGACTGGAGACCAAGATTTTGAGGATGATCTACAATGGCAGTTAAGCTATGGGCATTCTTGAGGCGACTTGGGGAAAGTATGAAGCAAGAATGGCAACAAGGAGCTGACAGCCCTGAGAAACTGGGACACTTGATACTCTCAATGGAGACAGAAGGAGCATCCCAAAAGAGAGAATGAAAGGAGAGAGAGAGAGAGGTAGTACCGCACATTCCAGGAGGACAGATAAGGGTTATAGGATCTACGCTATTTTAGATGAATGGGAGGGTGGGATTTGGGCAGAAATCTTAAAGCATAAAGGAGCAAGCCATGAAGATATTAGGGAAAGAAGGTTTCAGGAAGAAGGGAGAGGCCAATGCAAAGGCCCTGTGGTAGGCTCATTCACGGAATCACTAAGAAGCCAGTGTGGCTGGGGCAGAGCGCCCAAGGAGAGAGCAATGTGAGACAATGTCTCAGAGGTAATAGAGGAAGAGCGACAGAGCTTACAGTATTAAAGGCCTTGGGGAGAAAGATGGAGTTTTCTACTGTCAAGACTGACAGTCGCAAAAACCCACAGGGCAGTTCTACTCTGTCTTCTGGGACTGCTAGGAATCACAGTGGGTTCGATGGCAGTGAATCTGGTTTGATTTTGGAAAGACCTTTAGCTTTGATGTGACTGACAGAAATCGTGGGTGAGTTCCGAGTAGGGAGGGACATGATCTGGCAGGAGTGTGAAGAAAAAGCAGGCAGGGGCCCGGAGTTAGGGAGGAAGCTACTGTGTTAGTCCAGAGAGACCAGAGGAGCGGTTCTCAACCTGTGGGTTGCGACCCCTTTGGGGGTCGAACAACCCTTTCACGGGAGTCGCCCAATTTATAATAGTAGTAAAATGACAGTTAGGAAGTAGCAACGAAAATAATTTTATGGTTGGGGAGTCACCACAACATGAGGAACTGTATTAAAAGGCCTCGGCATTAGGAAGGTTGAGAACCACTGGACTAGAGAAACAAATCCATAGACAATCACATGTGCATAAGAAAGTTTTATATACAAGAGCAATTGAATATTGAGAAAACATCCCAGCCCAGTCCAGATCAAGTCCTTAAGTCCAATATTAGCCCACATGTTCAATACCAATCTATAAAGTTCTCTTCTGACTCACGAAACACATGCAATGATGCCGAAGATGCAATAACGCAGGAAGGTCACAGGCCAGTGGGTTGGAAGTCTTGTGGATCCAGTGGCGTTGTAAGCATCTCAGCGCTGGCAGGGGTCTCCATGTGGTTCCTTCAGCTCTGAAACTGACTGACTCTGGGTAGCTTCATGTGGCTCCTCCTCAGGAGACAGAGGGTGGGGGGGGGGGAGAGAGAGACTCTCGCCTCCAAGGAGGAGTACAGGAGTTTCCCAGAATCCTCAGGAGAAGGCCATGCCCACACAGAGACCTCATTGACTATGACCTGATTGACAGATTAGACTCCACCCCTTCACTCTTAATCCTCTCAAGTCCCAAATTGACACCTGATTATGTAACTACCTTAGCTACTCCAATGGTTCAGGCAGGAGATGAAGGTGGGCAGGACCAGGGAAGGGGCTGCACAGGGCACAGAAGTGTGCGGGCTTTAATTATGCTGAGACGTTCAGAGCTGACAAGGTCTGATGCATATATGGTGCAAGAAGAAAGAGAAGGGCCAAGGGTGCATCTTTAACGTCCAGTGGAGATGTTGATATAAGAGTCTAGAGTTCCAGAAGATAGCCAGGCTGGTGAAATCATTGGAGCATTCCCATTAAAAAACTGTGAGCTCTGGTAGCATAGTGGTTACGCATTGGGCTGCTATCCGGAAGATCAGCACTTCGAAACCACCGGCCACTCCAAGGGAGAAAAACGAGGCTTTCTACTCCGTTCAAGAGTTACAGTCTGAGAAACCCACAGGGACCCTTCTGCCCTGTCTTATTGGGTCTCTATGAGTCAGAATCAACTCAGTGGCAGTGAGTTTGGTTTCTGGTTTATTAAAAACCGAGGGCGTGGATAAGATCAGGAAGGAAGCGTGATGGCCAAGAACAGGCGAACAGGGCCCGAGCCCCAGGGCCCTCAACACTCAGTGAAGGAATCAGCAGCCAGAGGAGGAAGAGGACAGTGAGTGTGGGGTCCTGAAGGCCAAGGGAAGGGTGTGGGGAGGGAGAGGGAGGGAGGGAGGGACGGTCAGGTGTACCTGAGGTGGCAGGAGGACTGAGAATTGGCCCTCGGGCTAAGCACCCTGGAACTCATTGATTGGCACTGCAGTGGAATGAGGCGGGCAAAAACCAACAAAACTTGCTGCCAGCGAGTTCCTGCCGCCTCAGCACCCTTGCAGCCCAGGGTGGAACTGCCTGGTGGGTTTCCGAGACTGGAACTCTTTACCAGAGTAGAAAGCTCTGTCCTTCCCCCTCGGAGCGGCCGGTGGTTTCGAATGGCTGCCCTGGCTGTAACCACTAGGCCACAAGAGTTCCTGGAATGCAGGGGAGGAGTACAAATTGGACTGGAGAGGGTTTAGGAGCAAACTAAATGGGAGGCAGCAACCACAGGTGGGTCTTTGGAGAAGTTGGGCTGAAACGGGAAGGAAACTGAATAGAAAGAAATAGGGGTTCTCATCTCTAAGGTGGGAGAAGTTACAGCGGCTGTAGGCGGAAGGGAAAGGGCAGTAAATCCCAAACTCCCTGACATTGGGTCCATTCTGACTCACAGGGACCCTACAGAACACAGGAGAACTGCCCCTGTGGGTGTCCAAGGATGTAACCCTTTGCAGGAGTCAGTAAAATATCATCTATCACATGAGAAGTCGCTGGTGGTTTCAAACTGCTAACCTTGTGGTTAGCAGCCCAACACATAACACACTATGCCACTCGGGGTCTTTTAA